AGGGAGTCAGACGTGGCAGGATGTCCCCTGGAGATTGCTGAGCAAATCACTCTCCTTGTCAGAGCAGCATATCGATCAGCCTTAGTTTGTACCAATTCCATATGTATTTCCTTTAGCGGTGCCCTCACATTCTTCAGGTGTTTTGCAGTTGAAAAATATTTGCTTTTCCAGCAAATGTTTGCAAAATGGAGATATTTGCTTCCCAAGGAGCAATGAGACCATTGTTCAGGCACCGTAAGCAGCAGGCCCACAACCGCAACTCATTCCACATAGGTCTCAGTAGCAGCCCATAGACTAACAGTTCAGTATTTGGACTAGTCTAATTTTGCACTTAAAATTCCTTCTGAATTGTTCAGGTGAGATAGCCCATTCATACATGGAGTTTTCTCAAAACACTATATAGCAAGTCCTCGAATAATGTCATTTCATTTAACGTCGTTTTATGAGATGCTACAGGAACATGACTTTTGTTTATATCGATTAGCCTATAGTAAAAGTGGTTTTGCTTAAAGTCACAGAACCCATCGACGACGTTGAGTAAGGACTGACTGTACTGCTATTTCTTCCTCCAACAACTTCCTTCTGTCCCCCTCCAAAAAGTTTTAGCACCGGCATAGTTGACAGCCTGGTCTTGAAGCCCAGTGACTTTGTAAAGAAGTTAAGGCTGTGAGCATGGTGACTAGGTTAGCACTATGTGCAAAAGGGATGGTGATTCTATGGATGGAGAACTACTGGCTCTCACTCCGTCGCTCTAGTAATCTCAGTAATCCACTGGAGGGCACATCCCTCCTGCTTTCTGCAGTCAGGTAGCAGAAAGAGGTTACCTTGGAAACAATGAGACTTTATTCCCTCACCATCCAGACCCACCTCTTTGGGCCTCAGTTGCTCCGTCTATAAGTGGGGAGAATGACACTCTGTGTTTGAAGACGTCAAAATCTAAGGAGCTTTTTATGACTAGAGTCTTTGATTCCTCCACTCAGTCAAAAGAGTTTTAGTTAAAACCCAAAGAGAATTTTTCTTTTGGAACCGAGAGGCCTCCCAACATATAAGCCACTTTGTTCCTCTGCTACCTCCCCTGGTGCTGAGATTGTAAGAGGCAGAGAGCCTCATCCTCTAAGATGACAGAGGAAGATGTCATGAAAGCTAGGAATTAGCTTCTTTCAAGAAGAACTAGGCCTCCATCTAGCTCCTCTCCCACCATCCAATGTGTTCACACTCAGACACGTAGTCTCTGCTCAGCATCTCTGGGTCTGCTGGTCAGGCGAGGTCCTCTGCCTGGAGAGAATCAGTTCTGCAGTGATATCTGAACACATTCCAACAGCACGTGCTTATCTCTGGGGTCAGCCTTTCCTGTTGGTGCTCAGGAGGCCTGGGGGGAGCTGGGAATAGGATAATGGCTGATGGCAGTAACAAGGGGCGGAGGCATGAGAGCAATGGGGACGTGAATCCCACCTTTGGGAGGGGGATGTTATGATGAGGTTTCCAGACTGTGGTGTGTTTGGCCACGTTTCTCCTTCCTCACACCAGGGTGAGCTCCCCAGCTCTTCTGTTCCCAGTGGAGATGAGATGGACACCGCCTCACCCAGGGGTGCGTCTCCGAGAGCTGGCTAGGACTTGATGGGTGGGGACCTCCAGGTGGGGGCCGTGGATCTGGAGCCAGGAGAATAGCAGTGATTCCATTGTTCGTTTAGGGTCTGAGCTCTGTTGGGACACAGCCGGATCTGCCCCTCCCTTTGAGTTCAGTCGTCAGTGCCAGGACCCTCAGGCTCTGGCAGTGGGACAGAGGAGCCACCCTCCCTGACTACGCTGAGCAAACCCTAAGAGTCTGGCACCCTCAGACACCATTTCCAGGAGCTGTACCCTCTCCCTCAAGAAAAGGGCCCACCATTCTCTTATCCCCATCAGCAGAGGGCAAATGCTGAGATGCCTACGGAAGGGTCCATCCCAGCTCCAGAGGGCTTTGAGAAAGCATGTTCACAATCAATCCTAAAACCTTTGATTTATTCCTCCTTTTCAAATTAGGTAATCTCATCCTCCCTCGAGGTTGAGTTGCAGGGGGTGGGGTGGGGGGAAGGGCGGTGAGGGCATGAGGGAGGAGGCTGAACCATTTGATTCCTCTTCAGCAAAAATGAATCATGTCCTCCATCCTCCATCCTCAGCTTAGGAATATTTACCCATGTTTATATAACCATGGCAACAGGTTTTATTCTCTACCACCTAAACCCTTAAAAAAAGGAAGGAAGGAAGGAAGGAAGGAAGGAAGGAAGGAAGGAAGGAAGGAAGGAAGGAAGGAAGGAAGGAAAAAGTAGAAAGCAGTTCTTTTTTCTACTCTTGCCTCCTGCTCTCCCCAAATGACCTATTCAGAAGCAGCCCCGCCGCCCCCACGTGACCATGGCCTTCTCAGAGGCAAGGGAGCAAGAAAGTTGCAATGGCTCAGCGGCATGAAAGGATTGCAGAGTTTGACAGTAATTGTCTCCCAAAGTCCTGTGGGAACCACAGAATAATAGCACTTCTGACCTGTCTGAGACCTCTCTTTTGAGCGCCACAGTGAGATGACCATAGTTTAAAAAAAATTTTATTTATTTTTTCCCATCTCCTTAAAAGTGGATGGAATGCGATCTGGCTTTACTAACAACATATTCTTCTCTAAGATGAATTCCTCTTGTTCCGACTACCTCATGGATCATTGTCAAAATAGAGTTTCAAAAAGAGTATAAAAGTGTTAGATTCACACAGGTTTAAGCTAGAGGCAAGGGAAACTGAGGCCAGGAGAAGGAAAGCATTGGTGCAAGGTCATCATGTGTTGTCAGCAGTCTGGGAGACCTAACCTCCTTCCTAAGTTCTTGCAAAGAGATCAGCTGCATCCCCTGAGGTTTTAACTGTAGCCACTGTCCTACATCCATGTCTAAGAGGATTCTAGTCTGTGAATCTCTGGGTTGGCGGAAACCAGGGTTTAAACTTGATTCTGAAGACTATTTCAATTTCAACCACAGACCCACACAAGTTTAGTCTGTGCCTCTTACAGCCACCACTGTGCTGGATGCTGGAGAAGGCGTAGCAAGGCTCGGTCTCCGGGGTTGGGGAACTCTCTTGGGGCGCTTCTCCCCTCGTAAGGCTTCCTTGGTGGACATGGCCAGGCTCCCCTGGTGGACATGGCCAGGCCCCCTTTCTATCCCAATACCAGAGGATGCAACTCCAGAACTGGTTCGGCTCCTTCCTGGGGGGCTGGCTCCCACTCTGAACACTCCTCTGTCCCATGGAACGGACCCGTTGGGGATCTCGGCTCACAACTGCAAAGCAGCCGGAGGGTGGGATGGGACTCCCCTGGGTGGTGGCCGCAGGGGCAGCAGAATAAATGTAACTTCAGGTTCTCCCAGGGCGCGTTGGAAACGCCTGAGCAGATTCTCAGCTCCATCCCGCTCCCGTCGCGTTTTCGGACCCATGTGGGATCCTGAACAGCGACTGCGAAGGGAGCGAGGGCACCGAGGCACAGGCTTCGCACCGGATTGTGATTGACCGCGCCTCTTCTTTCTGTCCTCGATCCTTCAGCGACGGCTGCCCCACCTTCGTCCAAACCCGGCCCTCCGGGCTAGGCCGAAACACGTGGACACGTCCACTATAATCTACCGAGGACTTGGGGTGAAGCGGAGGCCATCGCGTCTAAAGATGTTCTTCTTCTTCTTTTTTTAATCCCTGCCCCCTCTCACCTTTCAATAGTAAGCAGAAGTGGCGCTCTTCGCTGACACGGATCGGAATCACCGCAGGGCCTGCATCCTTCTCTGGCGTCCTCACCGTTCTGTCTCGCTCAGAGATCCCAAATTCTGCCCGGGGCACACTTTCCCGTTAATTACCTTGAAACAACACATCGCTAATTGCCCTAATTCCTCTCGGGCCCTGCCGCGCCCCCGCCGTCCAGCCGCGGGCCAGGCGGGGTGGCGCGGCGCCTGGCACCGGTTGGGAACCGCAGCGCGGTGCGCTCGGCGGCGGGCGGGGGGGGGCGTGCGCTGCGGGGTAGCTCGCGGCGAGTCTGCGACCCCTCTCGGGCGGATCTGAGCAAATCCGCCGCCTAGGGCCTGGCCGAAGCTCGCACGCCGCGGGCGCTCGGGCTGCGGCTGTAGAGTAGAATCGGAGCATCTTCGAGTCCCCCTCTCATCTCTAAGCTAACAGAGCGCTTCCCAAGAGTTTGGATAACTGCCGCCGCCAGGGCACCGAGCACGAGAAAGGCCTGTTCCTCCACTCCATGCCCACCTAATGAAAGCATTCTCCATCCGTCACTCCGTTTTATATTTTTATAAAGAATCACTACCTGAAGTTACAGTGTTTTGTTTTTAACACTTTTGTCTCATCCCTTTCCTGCCCTCGTCCCATGCACGTTCTTGAAAGCAGAGACCTCGCCCGTCCCATTCAGTGTCCCCGGACCTACCACCTGGAGGACAGCAGAGCCTCCATTGCTCTGTGTGAATAAGTGAATGGCCCGAGCGGCGGCTCCTCCGCTCCGATCTAGGAGTGGGCGGCCAGGACCCTACACTTGGAGGTGGGGCAGAGCCGCACTTTCAGAGTCCACTTTTGTGAACATTTCCAGAATTCAAAAGAACTGCCGAGCGGCTTCTGGGGTGGAGAGTGTTCCTTGCCGGATCGGAGTTTGGGAAACCGGGTTGACACTAAGGCACTCAGCCTCTTTCTGAGACTGATATTCAGTGCCCACCCGTTTGATGACCAAACAGGGCTCACGTGCTTTGTTGGCGGGCGTCGGTACAGTCTGGCGTCACCATAACCTCCCCGCCCCCCACCCCGGCTGCGCTGGTCAGGACCAGGTGTCCCCCTGCCAGACCCCCAGGAGCTGCGGCCCTCGCCGGGTGCAAGCCCTCGCTGCCGTCCGCCCGCGGTTGCCCAGCCCGCGCGCCCCATGCGCTCTTCTGATTGGCTGCCGGCGTCCCCTCTGAGCGCTCATAGGCTGGCCCACGTCTCCCTCCGCCCGCGGCCCGGGGCGCGCGCAGCCTGCCGCGGGGAAAGCTGCTCCAAGTTCGGCCTCGGAGCAGAAGCTCCGCTGGGCGCTCGAGAGGCGTGGACCTCAGGGTCCAGCAGCCCGCAGAGCGCAAGGTTTCAGTGCGGTGGGTGTTCCCACCCGGAATTCTCTGGTGGAGCCGAGCCCCGCAAATGGGCACATGAGGAAGAAGAGCTGGGAAATGGACTGCTATTTACGCCGCCTCAAACAGGAGTTGGTAAGAGCAGAGCGGGCGCCAGGAGGGCTGCTCCCGCAGATGGGTACCTAGCTCGGCCGGGCCCTTGGGGCCGGGACGCGCACGGAAGGAAGGCCAGGGGGGAAAGGGGGGTGCGCACCGGCAGGCAGAGAGCAGGGCCTGTCCCGAGGAAGAGGGGCCACGAGGAAACTTGGAGCAAAGATTGTGTGGGAATGAGGCCACACGAGCAAGTGACAGAGACCGAGCAAACCAAACCCAGAGTGAAAGGTACCCGGGGAACCCCAGGGAGAAACGAGGGCGCACCCGAGACAGACAGACACGCAGACGGAGTGTGACCCAGGCGGCAGCACAGAAAGAACGGTACGCGGGTGCCCGGCTGCTGGGCGACTTGGAGCGCTCGGGGCAGGCGGGGCGCCGGGAAGGGTGCACGGGCAGGAAGCCTGCCCGGGGCAGGAGGTCAGCCGGGGACTGGTCGCTCGAGGGGACCTGGCACCGCTTGGGGTCCCCAGCTCTGCCGGGCTTGGCAGAGCTGGCGCGGCTGCGGGGGCCGGCTAGGCCGGCTGTCTGCCCGGGCTTGCCTGCCAGCAGGGAGGGGGCTGGCAGCTGGAACCGCAGGGGAGGGCCCTGCGCGGAGGAGGGGCCCGCCTGGCAGATCTCGAGCGGGCGCTGTGGAGGCCCAGCCAGATGTCAGGTCTGGGCTTGGGGCTTGCGTAGGGAGCGTGCGGGGGCGGGCGTGCAGGGGCTGGGAGAAGAAGCTCAGTGTGTGTGTGCAGGGGGTACCCAAATGGGGGAGGGCTGCTTGCTAAAGCTGTTAGGTTCTCATCGACTTCATATAGTTCCCCTCCACCTGCTACCTTTCTGCTCCTTCGAGCACCAGAATTCAGACAGACTGTCAACCAGGCTCTCTCTTTTGTCCTCGCCTCTGCCTCTTTTTGTCCCTTTTAGTTTGTTTCTCTTGAAGTCTTAGTCTCACTTTTCTCCCCTCCTCTTTCTTCTTACTTTTCAGAGCCAGGGGCACCCAGGCTCACAACAGCAGACCTGGATCCAGAAAGTGCCAGCCCATGGCTCTCCAGACTCCATGACAGCCTCTCCCACTCCTGCCTGCACTCTACACTTTTTTTTTAGGGGACTTGGCAGCCGTGTCAGAGGCCAGCTTTGGGGGCGGGGGAGCTCGAAGCAGCAGGTGTTCTCACTGATGCTTCCTGGTCAAGTTGCTCAGGCACTCTTCCTGTCTGTCCCACTCCAGGGCCTGCCTTCTCAGGCCAGTGGTCACTTCTCTGGTACTTCCTCCTGAAGCTCTTTTTGTGGTGACACACATATGGGAAAGTTACTCAGAGAGATGCTTCTTCGGTGAAGGACAGAAGAGTCTCCATCATGTCTTGTCCCAAACTAGTTTTCACATGCTTCCCATGTCAGTTTGGGGTATCTGGCCCAGCTCACACATACACAATTCTGACCTTTCCCATGCATTTATCCAATCTAGAAAGAAAGGTCAGAGTCATCACAGATAATGTCTGAAGTCCAAGGCTCTTGCTGAGAAATGAATCTTAACAGAATCCTCTTTTTATGCATGGAATCTGGGACCACACCACCCACCTCAGGATCTGCCTTAATAGAGGGTTTGTGGGTGTTCCTGGCATGGGCTTGAATTTTAAAATCCTACTGATTTGCATTTTTTTACAGCACCCTAGGTGGGAGGTGGTGAGGGGAGGAAGAGAGAGTCTGTGGGTGCCAGGAGAATAAAAAAGGCAAATAGGAATCTGCACTGAGCTGAGCTCCAGGTCTTGATTTGCACAGTCTTCTGCCAAGGACCGGAGCCCCCAGTCCCGGGAGGAGGAAGGGGAGAGGCTGAAGTCACCCAGCTCCCCATTAGCTTTCATTTGGCCCTTTGTCTGAGCAGCTTCAGCCTTTGACTCTCTTGGAGAGGAAGCCAAATGCCTGGCTTGGGGCCCAGAATGACACTCAGATGGGAGAGCTCTGCACCCTCCCGCCCCCCATGGGGCTCCGCCCCCTCCTCTGTGCCAATCTGCCCAGAAAGGAGACAGAGCAGAGTGACAAGCAGAGCTATTAGAGTCTTGTTCACTCCCTGGCACCTCAGCCCAGTGCTCAGGTCACTGAGCCAAATGTCAGTGCCTCAGTTTTCCCAGTGGGAGTGAGGAGAAAGCAGAGCCGAGTTAGCCCAGGCTCAGCCCTCGGCCCCTCTGAGGACTGTAGGGATTGAATTCAATGCAGCTTAGTTGTGGCTGTGACAGGAAGTTGTTGGCTTGTTTATCCCCCAGGTCTGCAATGGGATGGGAGAGACATACAGGCGATTTATGTCATGAGCTTGTGGGTGTGCGTGTGTGTGTGTGTGTGTGCGTGTGCGCATCCCAGCCAGAATCTTCCCTGCCACCCAGGAGGACTGTGTGTTGCCTGGCTTTGCCCTAAATTAGCGTGTGCCCAGGAATGGCACTCATGTAATCTAGTCAAGTTTTCGACGTTCATTCATTCCACTAAATTCCCTTCCAGAAGCATTCGTCCTGCAGACACTGTGGGTTAAATCTGCTGGAAAAGAAAACACTAACGGGCTGTGAAACTGTCTTTGCTGAGGGTATTCTGCACTCCCCTCCTGAATCTTGGCCCTGTCCTTGGCCCAGAAAATCTGGACAAGAAGAGTCTGTTACTGCAAACCAAAGTAGCAGAATTTTCCAATTTCCCGAAGCAGAAAATGTGCACTGTGAGGAGTGAGCACTGTGGGGAGGCTGAGGGTTTGGGGATCCTGGCTCAGTTAGGTTGATGTGTAGAGAACTGGCCCTTTGCCCCTGCCTGGAAGGGGTCGGGGATCAGGTTTCAGGAATGAAATGTGGCAGGAGAGTCGCAGCAGCTGACATACTTCTTCATTAGGATGAGAGGGGGCCGGGGCTGCAAATACTCAGCAGGGAACACATCCCTCCCTACTCCAGCCGCCAGAGAGAGGCCCTGCCTGAACCTAGGCCTTGGGGCCAGCTGTTCCTTACACACTGCTCCCTTGAGGGCTTCCAACAAAGGAGGTCGACACAGCACACGGAGGAAGCAGATGCAAGATGCTCGCAGGGCGTTCCTCATGAGTGCAGCTCAGCATAGAGCATATAGAGAGCATAAAGGCTGAGTGAGCAGGGCTCATGAAGTACAGCCAGTCTGGGAAGGCTTCCCGGAGGAGAGGAGGTTGATGGAGGCCAGTTCTTGGAATGTCTATCCTAGCTGAGGCACAGTGAAGCAGCAGAGAGATTTCTCTAAGGCTGGGAAAGGCCATCCTAGGACAGCTTGGTGTGCCTAGGAGGCAGGATGCTAGTGGCCACGAATTCAGGAGGTTCTGGCATTTGGAAGAGGGGGCAAAGCCTAAAGGCGAAGTAAGGAGGAGAAAAGATGGTGACAGAGGAGACGCTGCAGGAACAGCCTTCAGCTCTTGGGCAAAAGAGCAAATTTCCTGAGGCAGAAAAAAGCTTTTGCAAGGGATCTCACGACGCAGTCCCCCTTGATGTTTAGAGCTCGGGCGAAGAGAAAGTGGGGTGGTCAGTGTTGCCTGGACTCAAATCACGGCTTTGTGTACCCTTAGTAGATTACTTAACCTCTCTGTGCCTTGGTTTTCTCATCTGTAAAATACCGACTGTACAGCTACTGTGAAGATTAAATGACAATATAGGTAAAGTGCCTCCCCAGCTGTAAATACTCAGCAGGGAACACATGACACAGTGCCCGATGTGTCGTAGGCACTTGGTAAACTCCAGATGATGAACTAATCAGACTGCTGTGAGTTCACTTACAGAACAGATTTACCGAGTTCATACTATGTTTAATGTACTTTACTGGGCACTAGTGCTATGGTTACGAAGATAAACAGACATAGATCCTGCCTTCAGGGCACTCACAGTTTAATAGGAGAGATAATAATCATATTTATTGATGCTGACATTTATTGACATGCCAGGCATAAAATGTATTATTATTTAATTGCCAAAGCAACATTAAGTTGTACTTCCATTATTCCCATTGAATAAATGAGACATGGTAAGGTTAAATGAGTTGGCCAAAGTCATAGAGCTGATAAGTGACAGAGCTAGGATTCAAACTCAGCCAGTGCAGAACTCACACTCTTAAGCAGTGCATGTGTGCACACCTCCAGGATAGATAGAGGACACGGGCTGTGTTAGCGGCACAGTGCAGTGCTCTGAGAAGGGCGAAATGACCTCTGGCTTCGTGGAAAAGGTCGCTTATAAGCTAGACCTCGAGGGATAAATAGGAACGTGAACAGGAGAAAAATACATTTCCAGGCAGATAATGAAACAACATGAGCGAAAGGCACAGAGATGCAAGTAATGGGGATGTTTGAAGACTCACTTGAGTTTGGCGAGAACATAGGGTGTGTGCAGATATGTAGTGAACAACAGAGCTGAAAGAGTTGTCGAGAGCAGACTATGGGGGCATAAAGAGTCTGGCCTTTTCTATATGTGTATAGAGCAGCTGGGTCAGAGACGTGCCCTGGGATCTAGGAGGTGGCATGGGGTGGAGGCTAGGGGAAGGAGGAAATTGAGGCAGGAGGATGAGGTGTAGAGGGTTATTACAGGAGCCTACATAGGAGAGTATGAAGACCTGAACCAGAAAGGAGAAAAGGAAGGTGACTTCTTGAGGTCCCTTGGATGCCTGAGGAACTTGAATGACTGACTGCAGTGGACAGGAGCCGAAGCTGGTCAGGGGAGAAGAGCTTGGTGAGATGGAGAGGCCAGCTCCCTGAAGGGGCACCTCGGACCCCTCTCTCCATCTGTCTGCCTCTAGCCTGAGGACACGGCCCCCAGGAGATGGTTCATTTGGGAGAGAGGGCTCATCCATCTCACACTTCCTCCTTTCTTTCCCATCCTCTCTTCTCCAGCTCTTGGCACCGTTTCTACTTTACTTTCCTGTTGAGAGTTCCAGCCAAGAGCAGGGGGCTGTGAAGGTCCCCATTCACTGAGCCAGAGAATGGGCCACTTGGCAAAAACGGGTCTTTCCCATTTCCGGCCCTGAAT